TGGCCTGCTGTGTTCATCCAGCTCTACACCTATTATCTCAGATTCTCCAGCATCTGCAGTTCCTACTATCTCTGAAACAATGGCCCTTATTGACTGGTTGTTCAAAATGTAACATTGCGTTGACCCTGTAGTTCTATAATTAACTGTTTGTTGACCAATTGTTTTATGACAGATATCCCCTTGAACAATCATGGTCAGTCTGGCTGCCTCTTAATCAGTTACATTTCAATTTCCACGAGATCAGCTCCTTCCACCATTTAAGTAAAATTGAAGTCAAAACATATATTCACGCTCAAGAGTGCGAATTCTTGATTATGAAATATGTATATATTCTCAATTCTCTAACATTATTTGTGTTGCAGAGTTGAGTATGATGTACCTTTCATCTTGAGAATTATACCTTTGGACCATATAGTTTCACTGCTTTGGGCCATAACCCTCTTTTCCTTCAGCTATTGTATGCAATCTGAAAATAGTGACACTTGCTTTAATATCAAGCTTAAAAATGGGTTTGAATCACCAATTTCCCCAAAAAATTAATGTGATTTCTCATCCATCGTGGGTTCCTCTTTCTCATCAACATTTTTTGTGTAAGTTGCCATTTTATCTTCTGTTGCTCTGTATCTGTTTCCTACTTCTGCACATCTTTTGGAAGTGATGGATTGCAAATGAACGAATGCTCTAATAACTAGACACTGTTTATGTTTGTGACATTCCGATAGTGCTGATACTGACTCTCAGTTTCTGCTACTTGATATATTCTCTATGTCATTTTCTCACATGTGCCTTTATTGAATTTGTGTCTTACAACCTGAATGGATTCTGTGGCCCCATGGTTCTTTCTGATTTCTGCTTCCAGCACCAAGAGATTGGCTTTTTCCAAAGTCAAGTCTTCTTTTGACTGTTATAAACCTGAAAAAGAATCATTAACAATTTCAGAAACAATTCTTTCTTTTGTAAACTCTGATTTAACAGCTCCATAATCGCATTTCTCCACTCATCTGTGAAGGTCATTAATGGACGTATCTATGGATATCCCTGGATGATAAATCTTCTGTAAAATCTTGTTTTTACAAGAATTTTATTTGTTCAAAGATTAAACTAATTGTTGGAAGCTTGTTGAACTACATCAAATATTTCTGTGCTTTCTTTTATGCGATGGTAAGTTATAGCATCATCAGCTACAGTTGCAATTGAATACAAAAGTGCATTGAATTGTTAATCTTCTGATTTAATGACTCATGTAGAAGCAACTCTTTATTCTGAGAACCTTTTCCTCCAAGACCTTCAATTCTGTGTTCTATATGATATTTCAGTCAATATTATTTCTGCGGCTATTTCTTCCTAATAAGATTATTTATTTTCTCCTTTTAAATGGTCTGCAGTACAAGAATGGAACTTCATTTTCCTTGTTTTAAAGTCTTTTAATTCTGCAACATTCCTATACTCTTTTCCTGTATTACTGTTTTTGAGGGTCTTCCAACACAGTGTGATAAAAAAAAAGACAGTTCCCACCTTCTGCAGCTAAATTCCTGCATGCTACAAATAATCCAGATAATTCCTAAATTTTGCAGCCTAATAAACAATCCCGATCTCTTTAACTGCTTTACTAAACATATCTTACTTCTTGTAGTTTTATAGTAAATCCCACTGTCTTTGCAGCTTTCCATAGATGATTCACAATGTCTGCAGCATTGCTAATAATCACCATTGCTTTGCAGTTTTGGTAAAGATTGCTATTCTCTTTAATTAATGAATCAAACTGTCTGCAGCCTTAACAAATCCTTCCCACCTTTACTGTGGTTTCAATTTTGCAACTCTCGCTCTCACTGTGACCTCAAAAGCATCTTTACTTTCTACTTCTGTTTGACTCTGCCTGTTTAGATTTCTAACCTGTCTGTTTATCACTTTAAATCTGGCTCCATGATGTTCCTCATATTGTGACTTCATTTTAAAATCATTTCTTTTTGTTCTTGTTTCATTTACTATAGCTGTGCATCTTGGTGCTTGCTCGCTGTGGCACTAATGCTCACACCAAGTTACAAGTACTTTGCTTACTTATAGCTTTCACAGCCTGTAAATGTGCATATTTTTCAAAGTTTTCCCTTTGGACACCAAAATTTTAACCTTACTCACAGAGCCTAGATGTCCATTTGCCCTCTGACTAAATATCAACTTGGCACTATTCCTACAAGTCCTTCTGCACCTGATGCAATCTAAATGCTAGTCATGTCTCCAGTTCCAGCTTCATAAAACCTCTAGCTCACACTTGCTTGACTTACCAGGTCTGAAATGCTTTTATTATTAACTACAGATTTTGCCTTGTTGAATCTTGCCTCTAGTAGCTTTTCCACTCTCTATTGCTGGACTGTTGAGCTCCTTCAACTGCTGACTACCTGCATGAGTCATTCTCTTAAAAGCTGTGTCTGGACCATTCTTCTGAGTTCACAGGAACTCCCAGTGCAATCTACCCTTTTGCAAGTAAATTGAATTCCAGTCTGCTCTCTTGCTCACTATGGTGTAAAACGAAATGATGCCTATCTCTGGCACCGTGTTATATGATGAATCTTCACTGCTGTCCATCATATCATATCACTGAGCTGGACTCTTGGTCACCTTAAGGTAGATTTGCTGCAACTATCCTGCTTTTAGTTTACAAGGTATAGGCCTGTTTTGTCAAGTGTGGAAGCGCAAAACCGCTAAGCAATTGAATGAGAAGAGGCTTTTACTTTAAACAAGATATAGTTTATTGCATGTTAGGAATCAGATACAAGTTACATTATTATGAGAGACATTATTACTAAGATTACAGGGAGACAGCATCTGTAGAGAGAGAAAAACTATATTAATGTCTTGAGTCAGTGTGACTGTTCTTCAGAGATGAGAACCATAGGTATTTCACCAAGAGAACGATGTGCAAAAGACAGACAATGATAAGAACCTGTGTATTCATGAGGCTTGTCCATTTAGTTGTTGAGCTTAGAGATTTTCTACTCCTCTCATTGTCCACACCCACAACTCCATCCCCCTGACATGGCCCTAGTCTCACTTTGACCTGCATCCCTGGTAGCTCCAAGTAAGGTTTTGTATATGAGGCCAAATAACAGTAATGGACCCTCCCCATCAATTTCCATCTTTCCCCAATTACCGTTGGCCCTCTCAACATCACTGTCTGCTTTCCATGTGTAACCCTTGAACCTCTCTCCGTACCTTGAACACTGCTAATTGTAGAAGTGGATATGTAATGTCTCTCCACCGCGAGCCTATACTGTCTCTGTCAACATTCTTCCTCTGATCCTAGAATCCCCCATGTCATCCTTAGAGTCTCCATTAGATCCTTTGAGATCTTTGAATATTGTTACCTCCAACTGAATTTGCCTCCCTGCCCAATCAGGTTCCCTGCTGCTACTGCGAATGTTCCCTTTGCCAGCCAGCCCTCTGAGTTCGACACACAGGACTTAACTTTGGGCACTACACTTTAGATGACTCATTCAATTTTCTTCATTGCCTGCCTCCACTATCCCCAGCCACAGACATGATGCTTGGCCTTTTCCAATTTACATATGGCTGGACACGACATGTTGTTCTCCCTTGAAGCCCACTTCCTGTACTCCATTGCCCCATCCAATTCCTTGGACCCTCAACTATCCTTGCCACTCCCATTCCTTCATCCAAGCTGCCAATCTCCTGCCACACCCCCATGTGCCACAGAGTTCAACAAAGTCAGCTGCTCATTTCTGACACAATGTACAAAGCTCATTGATGCACATTCTCTTGAAAATAATTGAACCTGATGCTATCGCATTTCCGTTAATCTTAAAGGTAGGACTTAATCCCACAACACATGGATTGGACCTAAGCTCTGCAGTCATGCCATATTGGTGAACAATTGAACAACCTACTGGAGGAAGAAGCTCCAAAAATATCCCCATCCTCAATGATGAAAGAGCCCAGTACATCAAAAGATAAGGCTGAAGCATTCGCAGCAATCTTCAGCTAGAAGTGCCAATCTGATGATCCATCTCGACCTCCTCCAGTGGTCACCAGCATCACAGATGCTAGTCTTCAGCCAATTCAATTCTCTCCACATGATATCAAGAAACAGTTGGAGGCACTGGATACTGCAAAGACTGTAGGCCCTGACAACATTCCAGCAACAGTACTGAAGATTTGTGCTCCTGAACTTGCCACACCCATAGCCATGCTGTTCCATCACAGCCACAACATTAGCATTAATCCAACAATGTGGAAAATTGTCCAGGTATGTCCTGTAAATAAAAAGCAGGACAAATTCTACCCTGCCAGTGACTGCCCCATCAGTCTACTTTCGATTGTCAATAAAGTAATGGAAGGTAAGACCTGATCAGCAAAAACCTGCTCAGTGACGCCCAGTTTGTGTTCCATGTGGACCATTCAGCTCCTGAACTCATTACAGCCTCAGTTCAAACATGGACAAGAGAGCTGAATTCTAGAGGTCAGATAAGAGTGACAGCTCTTGATATAAAGGCCACATTTGACTGAGTTTGACGTCAAGGACCCCAGCAAAACTGGAATCAATGAGTATCAGGGGATAAAATCTCTACTGATTGGTGTTATACCTGGCTCATAGGAAGATGGTTGTGGATGTTGGAGGTAAGTCATCTCACACCAAGGACATCTCTATAGAAATTCCTCAGGGTAGTGTCCTAGGCCCAATCTTCTTCTGTTGCTTCATCAATGACCTTCCCACCATCATAAGGTCAGAAGTGGGGATGTTCACTGATGGTTGCGCAACATTCAGCACCATTCATAACTCCTCAGATACTGAAGCAATCCATGTACAAATGCAAAAAAATCTGGACAATATCCAGGGTTGGGCTGACAAACAAAATAACATTTGTGCCACACAAATGCCAGCAATGACCATTTCCAATAAGAGACAATCTAACCACTGTCTCTTGACATTCAATGATGCTAGCATCACTGAATTCCCTACTATCAACATTCTGGGAGTTACAATTGACCAGAAAATGAACTGGACTGACCACATAAACACAGTGGCTATGAGAGCAGGCCAGAAACTACGAATACTGCAGTGAGTAACTCACCTCCTGACTCCTCAACGCCTGTCCATCATCTACAAGGCACAAGTCAGGAGTGTGATGGAATACTTTCCACTTGCCTTGATGGGTGTAGCTCGAACAACACAAGAAGTGTGACACTGTCCAGGACAAGGCAGCTTGCTTGCTTGGTACCATATGTGCAAGCATCCATTCCCTTCACTGCTGATGCTCAATAGTAGCAATGTGTACTATCTACTGGATGTGCTGCAGAAACCTCATAAAGATCCTTATACAGCAACTTCCAAACTCACAACTTCCAACTGGAAATTCAAAGGCAGCAGATAAATGGGAACACCACCATCTGTAACTTTCCCTCCAAGACACTCACCATCCTGACTTGGAAAAATATCACCGTTCCTTCACTGTCACTGGTTCAAAATTCTGAAATTCCCTCCATAATGGCATTGTTGGTCCAGCAATAGCATATGGACCACAGCAGTTCAAGAAGACAGCTTACCACCAACTCTTCAAGAGCAATTAGAAATGGGCAATGAATACTGGCCCAGCCATTGATACCCATGTCCCACCAGTAAATATTTAAAAATGAGGCTTCAAGATAAGGGGATGAACCTTATGTTTGTTTTTTGCTAAGTCTAAGTTGTGTCCTGTTTTTGCAGGCTCTTACTGTGAGGCCTAACAAATTTACTTTCTGTATCTAACCAAAATTTGCACATTTATTACCTTTCCCTGCACCTATGACATTGACCAGATTAGATTCCAGCCCTATCTTACTAAACGCCATTCCCAGAACAACTCGCCCCTTAATGGATATGCGCAAAAGACCAACATTCCTTACATCTTGCTACCTTTAAAAAACCATTGTGCACTCAAATGAACACTGGCATTCTGAAGCTGCCCTGCTCACTCAAGCATGGAATCTTAATGTGTCGGAGAAAGGGAAGCTATCACGCTAATTCTCCAACAGAGATTTGGTGATCCTGGTGGACAGGGTGGAGAGAAGACCACGTCACAGTGGACCAGGAAAGGAAACTGCATCAGCAGACCCTGGCAGCCTGGTCTGATGTTGGCACATAGTTCAGTGCCAGGGTGACAAAGAATGACCAGAGTCAATAGAAGATCAGTGACCTTCTCTGCGGCACCATGTTAAGTGTCAAACTCTTTTCTCTACTACCTAACACTCACTCCATCTCTGCACCCACTTCCCAACAAGACTCATGCTCTGCACTCTTACTGTCACCAAAAGCATCTTCTCTCATTCTCTCTCACTGACCTTACCTCCCACACCAACTCTGTATGGACTCTGCGTTATCTCCTCACTACCTTAGGGCACCTCACCACATTCCACCACATGCAACAGCGCTAACAGCTGTGCCACCCACTTTGATCTCACTCAATGCCTTCCTTTCTCTCATTTTAGGAGAAGACTGCTGATAACAGGGCAGAGTGAGACTCTATATAGTGGGGGATGGGGAAGTTAGGGTACATATGATATTCAGCTGCTCACTCCTTGATCAGGAGAGAATCCTAGACCTCGCTGGGGAAGACCGAGGCCACTCCTGTGGGGATGCCAAAACGTCAACGTCCTACCAACTGAGTAAGTACCACTCATCATTTCACTGCACATCTCTCAGTGACCCTGCTGACAGTGCCATTCATTGCACACTGCTTCTAACCACTGGCTGTGACAACTTTTCTCTGTTATCTTGCAGGCACTGCCAATACATCTACCACTTCCATGGTAACTAGATTGGCTCTGCCAGATGCTACCTTCTCAAACTCTGAGGATGAAAACTCTGAGGCCCTTAGAGGAAGCATTGACAAGTCTGCCTCCTGCACCCTGCACTAGCTCAGATTCTGTCACCTCAGATGCTGGATGAAGAGAGTTTGGGAGCACAATCTGGTGAGCACCACACTGTGAGCATTACTCTGCACCTGGTGGAGTAAGAAATGCCCAGATCGCTGGATCATTGAGGCCTGTCACAGACCAGGCACCTTCTCAGCCCCGGGCAGGAGAGGCCCCTGTGGTGTCTGTGTCCAGGACTTCACCCACAGGCACAGGGAGGAACAGCAGCAGCAGACAGGGATGTGGGAGAGAATGGCCCTCATTGCCCAGAAGCTACAGCAGGACAGCGAGTTATATGGCCAAGAGAACACCTATGGTCATTTTGCGACAAACAACTGCATCTCCCAGTCGCGAACCACTTCAACTCCCCCTCCCACTCCTTGGACGATATGTCCACCCTGGGCATCCTTCAGTGCCACAACGATGCCACCCGAAGGTTGCAGGAACAGCACCTCATATTTCGCTTGGGAACCCTGCAGCCCAATGGTATCAATGTGGACTTCACAAGCTTCAAAATCTCCCCTCCTCCTACCGCATCCCAAAACCAACCCAGCTCGTCCCCACCTCCCTAACCTGTCTGTCCATTCTCCCACCTATCCATTCCTCCCACCTCAACTCCCACCCCCACCTCCTACCTACCAGCCTCATCCCCGCCTCCTTGACCAGTCTGTCTTCCCTTGACTGACCAACCCCCACCCTAACTCCCCACGTACACTCACCTTTACTGGATCTATCCCCACCTCCTTGATCTGTCCGTCTCCCCTCTACTTATCTTCTCCTTTATCCATCTATTAGAGCAAACATCTCAAGGTGATGGAGCAGTACCACCTTTGCTGCCTGTGCAAGATCCTGCAAAACCGCTGGGAAGAAAGATGCACCAACACCGGCATCTTCGACCAACATCCCCGGCATCATGGTACTGACCACCCTTGATTGGCTGTGAGGGGTTGGGCGTGTTGTCCGCATGACCGACACGAGACTCCCCAAGCAGCTCTACTCCCAGTTTTGAAATGGCAGGCAAGCTCCAGTTGGGCAGAGGAAGTACTTCAGTGATGCCCCCAAGGTCTCACCGGTGAAGTGCGGCATTCCCACAGACACCTGGGAATCACTGTCCCAAGACCAGCCAAAGTGGAGGAGAAGCATTCAGGAAGGCATCAAGCATCTTAAGACGTGCCACTGGGAAAAGTAGAAGCCAGGCAAAAACAGTGAAAGGAGCATGCTGCCACACCAACGTCCCACCCACCCCTGACCACTACCTGCCCCAAGTGTAACAGAGCCTGCAGTAGCCACATGGTCTGTACAGCCACCTATGGACTCACCCTGAGAGTGGAAGTGAGTCACCCTTGTCCGTGAGGGACCACCAATGATAAAGATGATGATGTATTGCTCAGAAGCTGCAGCTGGGCAATGAGGCATGTGATCATCTGTCTAACTCTATGGACAAGTAGGCAGCTGCCATGGAGACTCAGGTCCAGTCCCCTTTGTGGTCTGCTGGAAAGGTGCACCAACCTGCACTCCATCGCCCCAGTTATTGGTCCTCACGACCAAAGGTGTGGAGACAGAGGAATGGGGAATCTGACAATCTATCTGCCTTCTCCTCACGAGCAGACAGCGGAGGCAGCCAGCCAGAGGAGTAGACAGACACAGCCTCCATTCAGGACACCATAGAGCTGGCTGGACCCTCCAGCTCCACCATTTCTTCCCTCCCCCAACCATTGGAAGTTCATGTCAAGGAGTGTCCACATGACCCTCTGCATATCTAGTCTGTCCAGGTACAAATGCTCCTGGGGTCACATGAGCAAACTTCCAGGACAAGTGGCTTCACTGGTGAGCAGGCTCCCTCCACCCCAGATTCAGAACCAAGAAATACACTGAGACGTAATGGGACGGAGAGGAAGATTAAATCTAATTGAGGCGACTTTGGTGGGACAGATGACAATAGCTTGTAAATGGTTGTGAACTTTTGGATTCAAGTGTCCCCATGTAGCATGGAGATCAATGCTCAGAACCTATTGTATCACACGGAAGCAGTACAGACAATGTGTGTTCATGACACCTACGGCCCTCCTTGTACAACATTCCAAATGTTTCATGGCTTTCTGCTCAAAAGTGTAGCTGCCAGGGGTTGTACGACTGTGTCTCTGACACAGAAGTGCAATGCACAAAGACGGCCAATGCATTAACATGTTCATAGAGCATGAGCACTGCAGTCTGTGTTGAATGTACAGTGTATGGGTCTGTGCTCTTTCCCTTTAAAAGCTCTAACACTCGTGAGACTTATGGCCCCCTCTCTCAAAGGTCAAGTCACTTACACCACCCACTCCAAGTTTGGGCACAGCCATTTTCTTCACAATCGTGCACTTTCAATTTCTAGCATGATGGAAGGTGATAGTGAACACTCCTTGGGCAATGATTTCCAGCCTCCACCTGAACATGTTGGTGAACATCTATATTCTTTTCCTAGTCAGTTATACTGTATACCTGACCATGGTATACACGTCTTCCCAGCCATTCTTTTCTGTATTCCTCAATATTCACCCTTAAGTGGGAGGCAATGGTCTAGTGGTATTATTGCTGGACTGTTAATCTAGAGACCCAGATAACATTCTGGGGACACAGGTTCGAATCCTGCCACAGCAGATGGTAGAATTTGAATTCAATAAATTTCTGGAATTACGAGTCTAATAATGACCATGAACCCATTGTCGATTGTTGGAAAAACCCATCTGGTTCACTAATGTCCTTTAGGGAAGGAAACTGCCATCCTTACCTGGTTTGGCCTACATGTGACTCCAGACCCACAGCAAGGTGGTTGACTCTGAACTGCCCTCTGGGCAATTAGGGATGGGCAATAAATGCTGCCTGGCCAGCAACACCCTCATCCCATGAATGAAAAAATTTGCAGATACTGTTGCACCCCTCCACAATTGTAACCTACCCTTCCCCTGAAGCTGTAGCCTCCAGTACCAAAAATTGACATGCCAAGTCTCTTCCCTCCGCAATGACTATCATTAACCCCACCGCATAACCTTTCCCTTAAGTTTCAAGGTGGACCTGATAGACTGAACAAGGCCCATCCCCTGCAGTGACCAAACTGGATAAGCCCGGATGAGATGTGCCCTGATTCTTAACTGCTGGTTTGTCATTTCGCCACTATAATAGCCCTTGGCTGCTCTGGATCGATTGTGATGCACTCCCTGAACTGCACATTGGATTACCTGGTCAAAATCAGCCAAGGGGAAGCCTAGGTGTGGCCAATCCACTGGACTAGTATGGAAGGCTGCCTTTGCTTTATTCTGCCTGGGTCCCCTGACTTCTAGGTGCCCCCATGGATTTCAGCAATGATTACTCACCCCACTAAGGCCTTGAGGCAGCTCACTCCACATGTAGTGTGTTTGTCATGTAAGCTGCAGTTTGGTCATATGTAATATGGACGTAGTTCAGAGTAAGCAGCAAGTTGAATCCAGTAGGTACCCACTCTGGCTTCCTTGCAAAGCTTTCTTGATGTCTAGCTTGTTTGGTGACTTTGGTAAGATAGGAAGCTGGAGATATATTACTCAGTGTTTGTTAAATGAGGAAAGACAGCAGAGAACTGCAGCACAGAGGGATTTGGGTCTCGTGCATGAATCACAAGAAGTTAGTTCGGGGTAATAGGGAAGGCAAATGGAATGTTGCCCTTTATTGCAAAAGGAGCAAATTATAAAAATAGTGAGACCTCGCTAAAACTAGACAAGACACTAATCAGGCCACACCTGAAGACGGTGAATACTTTTGGTCCCATTATTGAGGCGATGATACATTGACATTTAAAACAGCCCAGAGATGGTTCATTAGGTTCACTAAAATACTGGGTATGAGGCATTTTCTTATGAAAAGAGCTTGAGTACATTGGGCTTGCACTCATTGGAGTTCAGAAGAATGAGAAGAGATCTTATTGAAACAAAAGATTATTTGAGGACATGACAGGGTAAACTTGATGTGGAGGTGCCAGTGCTGGACAAAGGTGGACAAAGTCAGAAATCACAAGATACTAGGTTATAGTCCAACAGATTTATTTGAAATCACAAGCTTTCAGACCACTGCCCCTTCGTCAGGTGACTTCACCTGACGAAGGGGCAACATTCCAAAAGCTTGTGATTTCAAATAAACCTGTTGGACTATAACCTGGTATTGTCTGACTGCTGACCTTGACAGGGTAAATGCAGAGAGGCTGTTTCCACATGTGGGAGAATCTAAGATAAGAAGTTGTAATCTCAGGGGTCGGCCATTTAAGAGAAAGGTGAGGAGGAATTTCTTTTCTCAGAGGGTAGTGAACCTGTGGAATTCTTTACCAAACAGGGCTGTAGAAGTTAGGTTGTTAAATATTTTCAAGGCTGAGATAAATGGATTTCTAATTAGTAAGGAATTCACGGGAGCAGGGCAAAGGCAGGAAAGTGGAATTGAGGATTATCAGTCTTATTGAATGGCGGAGAAGAATTGATG